TGATAGTGCATTTGACATTGTGACATTAAGTTTAGTTGTTTAGTGCACGAGTTTCGTGGGAAATTGTAGCCAGATAACAATATGCAAGATAAAATTGTATTTGGTCTTTATAATTTGAATTTCTTATTTAACTTGACTGGCTTTGAAATTGCTGTGAAGTGCCTTCAAGTTTCATATTTGTAGATAATTGGAACAAAATTTTTCATAGGTGACTGTTATACATAAATGACTACTATATATTTATGTTTTAAAACAAAGCATAATGAATAATTTAAATTTCACTTATTTTATGATAAATGACTAATAAAAAAATAATGCAAGTATTTTAAATTGTTTTTAAAGGGGTTGCTGCTGCTATATTAATCTTAACAAAATATGAACCATGGCTTCTTAAAATACCAATTAAAGGTCATTGACATGATAAAACCATCAAAATAGATAAGTTCATAGTTATACAATAAAAAACAGTCTGTAATTTATAAAAATTTTATCTTTTACATTTTTGAAGATAAGTCTTCAAGAGAGCAGAGGGTGGTGTAATTTTTTAAGCATATCTTCATTCTTGTTATCAAAGACCAATTTTGTTTGTTTAGTCACAGATTCAAATCATATTGTTTATGGATAAAATATGAAACATAAAACTTCATTAAACTTCAGTATTTAGAAAAGATTACAATTTCAGAAGATGGAAAGCATCAATGTCAAGTATAAAATCTTAATATTTGAATGACATCAATAACAAATAGAATGTCCGTATCTTTAAATTCACACTGATCAAGAGATCAGAATCATTGTCAATCCACAATGATAACAGGGAACTAATATTAGAAAATGCAAAAATAATTTACATTAAGAATGTAATTTTTCTGGCTTAAAAGAACTCGTTACATCAGCTTTGGCAGCAAAAGTAATATAATTCTATATTTTATATAAATATATCAATAGAATGTTTGTTATACCCTTACGAGCTCTGTAATGAATAGATAGTCATGTTAGTAGTGACATTTCCTAAAAGAAAAGGGTAAAAATGCTATTATTCCACTCTTCTAAACAAAAGCATGTTTTGGGTAATATGTGGGTTTATTAATAGGATTTTTTAAAGGTCTGAGTGTAATGTTTTACTCTAAAAACTCGTTCAAAAAAGATCATGCTCTTTAGCTTCAACATTATAAATTGTATATGTTAAAGTTTAAATACCAGAACTGTCTTTGGAGTAGTAATATGCATGTTTCTAAACTTGGATATGATATCAAAAAAATTGAAGCTGATACACAATTTTTAATGTAAAATCTGTGTTTGATTTAAGAATAAAAGAGGTTCATAATTTTTATATTGAAGCTTACATGTGTGCACTGTAAGGACCCCTATTTTTGTGAGCTTTTATTCAATGTGATACAAGATCAAATAGAAATGATAAGCAGATAAAAGTATTTTTCCCCCTTATGTATTACAGGTAGCAAAGGAATTACAAGTCACAAGAAAAGCAAACTCAAATAATTAAACAAAATTAGACTTAAAAGTGGAGCTCAACATTTCTAAGTTTTTGTAATAATGGTGATTAAATATTGAAATATATATTTCAAACCTTAAAAGGACTGTCTCAAAGTTTAGGTTAATGTACTACTGTATGTTTCAACTTCAGTATGAAATGTTATTCAGAATCATCTTTGCCTATAAACCTCAATGTAATTATCAGCTTCATGTATACATAATTTTCTATGAAATAGTATGTTTACATAGCTTTACATTAATAGGATGACACAATTAAAATTTTGAAGTGTCACTTCTAACTTATTATACAGATTATTAATCCACATAATGTGTATCCAAAGTTAATGTTTTTTTAATAAATCTGCAATTGTAAAAGGCTTGTATTTAATTTTAGAAAAACAAACTTGCAGTAATTAGCAAAAATATTCAATGAAGTTAAACATTATAATAACAAAACAAAGAAGAAATCAATATACAACATTAGTGAAGTAAATAGTAATGGTCACAGGTAATGAACATCAGATATGTCAGTGATATTGGGATGTTCTTTATTGTGTTTTGCCTATGCATTTGTTGACATTTTCCTCTTTTGTGTGTGTGTATGTACTATTTGTTTAACTTTTCATGTTTTGGTCTTGTGAAAAGTTGCTTTTTTTTTAAACTTTTCTTACTTTTTCAGGAGCCTTTTTGCTAGTGTATTGTGGATCTCGCTCTACCGCGGACCTGATGTACAATTCCAGGTGCCGTCAGGTGTTGGTTGTGTGTGTCTGTTTGTTTTATTGTTAGCTATTACATTGCAGGTTTGGGTTATGCACACCATTGAGATAGTGTTCCATAGGACTGCTAGTAGCTCTCTTTAGTGTTTTTTTACTTCATAAATATGTTCGTCCAGAACCGTACACCCATGGACTAACATGAGTAAAGCAAATAGAGATTGCTACCTGTCTCTGATTCTCTGTGGCATTGAGATTCTTCCTACTGTGGATCTGATGTACAATTCCAGATGCCACCAGGTTTTGGTTCATCAACTCTATTAACGTGGTAGCTCTGCTTTTCAAAACGGTATTGTGGTCACCTGTTCTCCAGTGATCCAGTCCTCCGGACTACCTAACACATTTTTTTTCCCTTTTCTTCTAGTGTAGTATGGGAGTCCTTACCACTTACCAGTTCCTAGCCACTGAGGTGGTGGACCATGGAGACCAGTCCTTCTGAGTGATGAATCACACCACTCAGTTCAAAGTAGGGCGGGGCATTCTGAAGGTGCCACTGGTATATTGCACTTACTACTACAGACCTGATGTACAATTCCAGATGCTGCCAAGTTTTGGTTGTAGCACTATACCATATTCCTGTCTATATAGCTGACCTATTTTCCTACAATGACATTCCTCCTTCCAACCATTCTCCAGAAGTACATTCCTGGTGTCTCTGGTTTTGGCTGGAGATGGCTCGGTCATGATTAGTATCATGTGTAGATGGTGTGATGCCCTTCCTACCACAGACCTGATGTACAATTCCAGGTGCTGCCAGGTTTTGGTTGAAGCACTCAACCATATATCTCTTATTGCAATTTGCCCCTCAGGCCGAGACGTTCCTTCTTCCTACCATACTCTGGATGTACATTCCCGTTGGGTCCAGTGTTGGTTGGAAATGGTCCAGCTAACTAAATCTTCATATGTATTCTGACCGATATCTCTCCTCCTACTGCAGACTGGAGATACACCCCATGTTCGCAGTCCCTCTTCCTACCATCTGCTGGATGTTGGTTCCCAGTAGATCTGGTATTGATTGTAGCTGGATACAGCACATTTTCCCACTTGTGTACAGTTGGATATCCTCTTCCTACCATGGACTGGAATTACCATACCCATTGCCATCAGGTTTTGGACTGGAGATGTCATCCTGCCAGGGCTTTCCACTTTCATACCATCTGCTGAATGTCGGTTCCTGGCAGATTTGATGTTGATTGTGTTGGAAATGCACACAAGTGGAGACTGATTTTGATATGGAAGCTCATCTTCCCTACCAATTCCCATTATGAGGTGAAGAGGTAGGTGATCCTTTACCTACTGTGGATCTGATGTACAATTCCAGATACCACTTTGTGTTGGATGAGGTCAAACTACCACTACAGTCTGTCGCACCATAGCCTCTGGACACCCAGGTGTTTCATTCATTGGTCATACATATTCTGGGATTCATTCATGTTTATCCATCTTTTATGTTCTCAACACAGTCATAAAAGAGTGAAGAGAATACTTGGATCAGATGTGGTACAGTCTCACCTCTTGGTCTCTCTCATTAGGCACTTCCTAAATGGGTGTTTTTTGTTGTTGTTGTTTTGTTTTGTTTTTTCATATGGATATCCAAAAGCAGGAGGTGGAAGGCTAGTGGCATGTGTTGAAAATGTGTGCCAGTAGAGAACAGTGTTACTCGAGAACAGCTATTTTGTGAATGGAGGTAAGTATCTATTGGAAACACATTTTCAGTAGAAGAAAATGCTAACTTTAATATAATGTTGTGTATGTGCATGAGGAACACTCCATTAATAACTTGCATGTAAATGGATACATGTTCATATTCTCGTATGATATTGTATAAATGTTTGAATGTAACTGTTCTAACTTGAAGAACTTTTAATATACTAAATTGATTATAGCTTGTGAAGATACTAAGATACATTTTTATCAAAACTTTAGCCTGTAAAAATACTGAATGAACTTAGATTAATTTTGAATCTATCTTTATTTTTACTGTATGTTTCATTGAAAATATTGCAGTTAAGTGAAATTTAAATTCTGATCAAAGCAAACTACTTACATAGCTTAGAACTAAAAAATGAACCCAGTAATAAGTATAGATAATTCAATATACTGTTTGTACGTTCTTATATTTTAAAAATCAGAATACATTGTTTCATCAGTTGAGTATCTTCTCTGTTGGAAATATTTTTTGGAAATATTCTAAGCCAGCTTCGGATATTTAGGTTAGTTCTAAATCTGTGCACTTAGCTAACAGTACAAAATAATGCATACCATGAAAATATATAAAAATAGATGTATTAAGCATTCTAACTGATACTGTCAGTTAAAGTAGCATTACAGAAAAAAATACAACTAATTTACAAAGAAACATAAACACTAGTGATTTGCTTCATACGTTATCATCGGATTCATGTTCCTTGAAAAACTTGACATCAGTATATTCAAAACTCAATATAATCCTCCCTAACAACATCTTGTGACTAAGGAAAGCCATTTAAATGACTCCAACAGCATAACTCTAGAATAACTTGACATATGGACTAAAAATAGTATGACCTGACAACTTCTGTTTAACTGTAGAATCTGGAAGAATAGTACAGAATGTTAGAAGAAGAAAAAAGCAGTGGATAATCATACAGAAAAAGTGCAGTTACAATGTATGAAAAACCTTTGAGCATAAACAAATTGACTATTAATGTGGTAATGAAGATAGAAGAATGATAAAATTAATATTGCATTCTGCAGTACTTGACACAGCTGGACAGGAAGAGTTCAGTGCTATGAGGGAACAGTATATGAGGTCTGGAGAAGGCTTTCTCTTAGTATTTTCCATCACTGACCGAAACAGGTAAGTTACATATTGGTTTACAAGTGTACATGTATTAATATGATTGGCTTGTTGTGTGTATTGTTAACTGTATTAAACCAGCATTGAACATTCTATGAAGTTATTCAAACATAATTCTAACCATTCTGTA